TTGGAGGGAAGAGGTAGAGGAATTTGTCATTCCAATCTATCATAAAGGCATCTCCTAGTGAGTTCTTGCTGGTACCGGCACAGGAGCAATATCGGTGACACTTGGCGTTGGTCTTGGAGGCGAAGACATTGATGGACGGGAACTCCCACTGGTGGCAGAGAAGATCGAAAACATTGTCATCCAATGATTACTTGTGTGTTCTTGTGCTGAGGCGACTGAGATGGTCTGCAAGTTGATTGTTGTCTGTGGAGACGTGTACTGCTACTGGGAAAATGTGGTGTAGGTAACGCCACTCCCAGAGCTCGAACGCCAGGTATAGTAATGAGAGGGAGTGCATGCCTCCCTGTTTGTTCATGTAATAAAGGGCTGTTGCATTGTCTGTAGCCAGTTGTACAGCTTGCCCTGCAATGATGAGTAAGGTGTGAAAAGCCTTGATGATTGCTAAAAGTTCAAGGTTATTTATGTGTAATAACTGTTCTTGTCTGTGATGCTGACAATGTGCCCCCCAGCCCGAGGGGCTGGTGTCGGTGCTGACTTGTATTGTGAGCTGAAGTAGTAGAAAGGGTCTTCCGACAAGTAGATGTGGAAGAAACATCCACCAAGTGAGCTGATGGGCAAGCTCGTAAGTCACTGTGAGACGCTTGGACAGGACGCCTGGCATGGGATCGAAGAGTGACAGATACCATGACTGGAGGGACCTCATTTTCAGCCAAGCATGTTGGATAATGGCAGTTGTGGAAACCATGAGACCGAGGAGGTGTTGGGTTTGACATGCTTATACCAAGGCTAGAAGTCAAAAAGGTTATATTGCTCTTATTAATTTGACCATCTTCTCCTTAAAGATGAAGGCCCTCACTTGTAGGGAATCGAAGTACACTCCAATATAATTGGCGGTTTGTGATGGTTCGAGATGGGATTTGGCAAGATTCACCTTGAGTCCAAGGTCTCAAAGAGTATCAAGAGTGAATTGGGTGGCTGTGACAGCTTCATGATAGGAATTGGCAACTATCAGCCAGTCATCGATATAAGGAAATATGGTGATACTGAAAACGGAGATAGGCGGTGACGGGTGGCACGCATTTGGTGAAGGTCCTCAGAGCCGTAGAGAGACCGAATGGGAGGGAACAGAATGGGTATGAGATGTTGTTGAATCAGAATCGGAGGAATTTGTAGTGATGCGGATGGATAGAGATGTGAAAGTACGCATCTTGAAGGTTGATGACAACAAACCAATCCCCCTGTGAAAGGAGAGGGATAATAGTGCCAAGCATCAGCATTCTGAAGTGTTTAGGTTGAATGAACCTATTGATATTTCGAAAGTCAAGAATAGGGCGGAGTCATTTCAATACTGTACAATATCTTGAATAAAATCCTTCATGGAGGGCAGAAGGAGGGACTATGTATATAGCTTGTTTTTGGAGAAGGGAAATTTCTTGTCGAAGAGCCAATGAATACGGAGGGGTCCTAATGGTGCCAGAAGGTGGAGTACGTTTAAATTCAATGAAATAACCATTTTGGATAATAGAAAGAACCCACTGGTCATTAGTAATTCAACGCCAGGAGTTGAGGAAAAGATGTAGTCTAGTTTGAAAAGAAGATGGAAAAGGTCTATGAATATTGCTTACCCCTTTTTTTGTGGGCATCGAAAGGGTTGTCAATGTGTCTGCCGTTGTTGAGGATGGAAGGTAGGTGTTGAGGATGTTGCTGGGCCGGAGTATGATCGATCAGAGACTGGTGGCTTGTACATTCGGTATGGATGTTGGTAGGACTGAAAGGGCTGTTGGAAGAATGGTTGTCTGCAAAATTGAGGGTGCTGATAACAGTAAGGCTGCTGTTGGGTGGAATATGAATGTGCAGTGTTTTGGAGTTTATGAAGATTATCCATCCCTTCATCAGTTTTTGCATTGAAGAGACTAGCTCCATCAAATGGAAGGTCTTCAATTTGTGATCTGGCATTGTCAGAGATACCCGCCTATCTCAGCCAAGCATGGTATAGCCTTATACGTGGAATCTGCAGTATGACATAAAGACATTCTCTGTTGCTTAGCTAGGGTCGTGGCCTCGGCATGGATATTTAGGGCTTCAGTTTTGGAAGCGTCAGGCATGGCTTGAAGAATGGGTAGAATCTTATTCCATAATTGTCTGTGGTATGCACCCACTGCGGCCTGGTAATTGGCAACCCTCATAAGAAAGGACGTACGAGAGTACAGGCGTCTCCCTAAGATGTCAAGTTTTCTGCCTTCTCCATTAGTAGGGGCTACCGATGTTTTGTTCTATGCTCTTGATTGATTAGCTTCTACTATGATTGGTGCGGGATGTTTAAAGAGAAAAGCGGTATCGGGACCATGGGTTTTATAATGATTCTCGATGCGTCTCAAAATTTGCAATGGTAAAGGGGGCTTATCCCATGATTCTTTAACCAACTGGGCTAAAAGGAACTGAGGGGACTTTGGGAGGGTGGAGCATGCGCCCTATGGGGGATAAGCAAATATCTTTAAGCTATAGAATAAGATAATAAAGATAAAAATCAATTATCTTTAAGCCATAGAAACTTCTGAGAGGTCCTGCACAGGCGCAGAACAACCCAATTGTGTGCATTCAGAGAGACCTCGAAGAACTGTTATTTGTTTATCATACAGTGGTGCCTCGCATAACGATTTTAATTGGTTAAAAAAAACGTTATGTGAAACCTCGTTATGCGAAACACCATTTTCCATAGGAATGCATTGGAAACCGGTTAATCCGTTCCAATAGGCACGGATTGCCGTCCTTAAGCGAAAAAACCCATAGGAAACATCGTTAAACGATACAATGTTTCCTCCATTGGAATGTATTGTAGCTGACTCAATACATTTCAATGGCTTTGCGAAGTCAATTTTTGCAAAATTAAGTGTGTCATAAAAGGGTCAAAAACGGTTTTAAATGCTTGGATTAGCTTCTGCACCCTCTAAAACGGATGCAAAAGTTAATTTGGCTTTGATCTGACTTTTCGTTAATTAATGGTGAATTTTTCCCCCCCAACTTTTGACAGCTGTCAAAATCTGACAGCTCCATGCTTTCCTATGGGGGAGAAAACAATTCGCCATAAATTAACGAAAGTTCAGATCAAAGCCAAATCAGGTTTGCACATGACTTAGGGGGTCCTCTAACGAATCCAAGCATTTAGAACCGTTTTTGACCCTTCTAAGACACCTTTTTAATTGAAAAAAAGAAACATTGTTAAGTGAAGCAGGGGACCTAAAATCGCATTCGTTATGCGAAGCATGGTCCCAAACTTCGCTAAGCGAAAATCGCCCATAGGAAACATCGTTATACGGTGCATATTATTTCCTTAAAAAACACATCGTTATGCGAATTAATCGCTAAACGAGGCAATCGTTAAGCGAGGCACCACTGTACTGTGTATTTATTCCACTGCAGGTGTGTATTTTGTAGGGTTTTTAGGAGACCACTTTGTTTGCGTCTGGGGGGGAACACGTAGACAAGGTGGGTGGGCTTTGTGCACCACTGGGTTGTGGGCGCAGCTGTTGCTCATGATTACACAAAGCCTGGGACATCTCTTTTTTCTTGGAGTAGACTGATTCTCTGTTGCCTTGCCTTTTTTTGGTACAGTTCTTTACTGCTTTTTGCAGTACCGAAAAACAGGAATGGGAAATCTGAAGGAGGCCTTTTCTCTCATGTAGAAAGAAAGGACTAGTACAGATAACAAAAAATATACAAAACCACAAGAGCCATCCTTCAAAACAACCCCAAATGAAAAAAATAGAAAATTTCACTGTTCACATCCCTAATCCAGACTTCAAATTTAGAAAGCTATGCATCTAGATTTTCATGTACCAATTGAAATACAGTGGTGCCTTGCTAGACAGTTACCCCGCATGACAGTTTTTTCGCGAGACATTGACTTTTTGCGATCGCTATAGCGATTCGCAAAACAGTGATTCCTATGGGGGAATTTCGCTAGACAATGTTTGGTTCCTGCTTTGCAAACTGATTTTCGCTAGATGACTATTTGCTTTTCGCTAGATAATGATTTTGCAATTTCAGTGGAACAGATTATCATCGTCTAGTGAGGCACCACTGTATCTGGATTTTTTTGAGAAAGCGCAAATTCTTCAACCATGGGATAGAAACTGACCAGTAATGTAAAGACACAACTAAAAAGAAACACACACCCCCAGAAAAACAAAAAATCCGGATGGTCAAATTTGCAACTGCATCACTGTTTACATTCAATACTGTGCTCTAGAGAAACAAAAACATACTAAATTAAAAGCAGTTTGAAATATGCACTATAATTAACATTATATAGGTCACTTAAAAGATGCCTAACTTATCTAAATTACATTGTGTACTAAATTACTTAAGTGCTGCTCTGGAAAGATCTAATTTTATTGCCACATAGTGCATTCCTCAAGCATTCCTCTTTTTCCATTTCAGGGGGTGACTCTTATGTGTAAACCAACTATATGGAAAAATACTGTCCTCTAAGGAGAATGAAGGTCCTGTTTGTGACATTTGTGATGACTGATTCACAGATGAAACATCATTCACAGAGCAAGCACCAACATCTGATGCTATACAGTCACTGTGGAATGAATATCCTGATGTGAACCTGTCACCTGTTTCTTCAGTTCTCCCTCCAGGCACAGAATCATAGCTGGCCCTGGCCCTTTGATATTTCTCGAAATTACATGGCTCCATTATTTTCTGGAGCCTCATTATGGGGCTTATCCTTCATCTTAAAGGTTGGTCAAAGTGTACTTTCTGGATCCAACCCAAGTTGTTGAACCTGTACAATGTTAAGATCTTCAGAAGAGGCCCTCTGGAGGCTATCCATGCATGCAACATACCCTTTAATTTTCAGACTCCCTCTACCTTTCTCTCACATGACTCTGCCCCTGAAAATGTCGGCTCCCTCATGACTGGAACCAAACAGGCTGAAAATGATCGCTCTGAGTAGGAGGAGGAAAGCTGAATGGAGGGAGGTGGAGTCATGTGTGTGTGCACACAGCTGCGCACCTTAGAGGAAACCTTGTATCCATGCATTGCTAGGAATGGGGGAGAGAACTTTCTCTAGTGTTTTTCCCAGATAATAGAATGGGCCTGAGATTTGTAACCATTTTCACCTCTCAGCGCTTCCCTTTTAAAAACATTCATTGAGCATTACTCTGATTTTCATAGGTTCAATATCAGAGTTAGGGTTTTAATTGTACTTGCAAGTGGTCTTGAATGCTATTCCTCAGGAGAAAGGCCATAAATGAAATGAATAAGAATGCTTGCTGGAAACATTTATAAACTCCATGTTGGAAGGCATGTGAGAGATCCCACTCTCTTCCAAAGCTTAAAAGGAAGCTACAAGTAATGAACAATGAATGACAGGCTACCTAAAATTTTGCTATTTACAATTACTTTTAGGGTCAGATTAATAAAATAATTGATACCTGCATAAATAATCATATTCCTCAGGCTATCTGACTGGCAAAGCCAAAGGTTTGGTGAGCTTCTAGTGAGCTTCTGTTAAGTGGAAAATCTGGTCAAAACAGTAATCCACTAACTGTGCAAAAACTACTGTTGGTAAGCAGAGGGTGTATTTTCTTCATCAGATCATCGCTTGCGCAGTGTGATACTGTATTACTATGCAGCTAACACTTTGAACTTATTGGATGTCTCCCACTGTTCGTACTTTTAAAATATTGTCTTTAATGATGTTAACTACCGTTATGTACTCATTGTTTTCAGCTTTGTTATTGTCTTTCATTGTTGTAGGCTGCTGTGGGTCCTTTTCAAGGGCAAAGGTGGAGTAAAATATT